GAGTAACTCATCCCCGCCCACACACCCACCCATACAGTATCTCTCTCTCTCTCTCTCTCTCTCTCTCTCTCTCTCTCTCTCTCTCTCACTATCAGGTGTGTGCAGGTACCTCAAGCAAACATCCGGTTTACTCCACACAACCTAACCTAACCTAACCTTAACCTAACCTTAACCTAACCTAACCTAAAGTAACTTAACCTAACCTTAATCTAATCTAACCTAACCTAACCTTAACCTAACCTTAACCTAACCTAACCTAAAGTAACTTAACCTAACCTTAATCTAATCTAACCTAACCTAACCTAACCTTAACCTAACCTAACCTAACCTTAACCTAACCTTAACCTAACCTAACCTAAAGTAACTTAACCTAACATTAACCTAATCTAACCTTTTGCACATTCCATTTGTTATTGACAGTTGTTGTTGTTATTGACAGTTGTTATTGTTGTTATTGACAGTTGTTGTTGTTGTTGACAGTTGTTATTGTTGTTATTGACAGTTATTTATTGTTTTACAGAAACGACTACAGGTTCAGCAGGAAGCCCCGCCCTCTTCCTCCCTCTGTACCTTCTGCTGCCGTGTTTGGTCTGCCTGCTGTAACCACTGTATCCGGGGAGTGTTTGCGTCCTGCTGTACTGGTGCTGTAACTACACTACCCTTGGGTCCTAATTACCTGTTGTAACCTATAACCACTGTATCTGACGCGCTGTAAATACTGTAAATGTGGGTGTTGGGACCTTGCTGTAACCGTTGTAATTGCTGTACTTGGCTCGCCAGTCCTCCTGCTGTAATACTGTAACCTCTTGTATCGGCTGTATCATTTGCTGTAAGCTGATCTGCTGTACCTGCTGTATTACTGAAACTACTGCTGTGCTTACTTATTAGTCGTACAGTAGTTAACAGCGGAATAAAAGTCTCTCTCTCTCTCTCTCTCTCTCTCTTTCTCTCTCTCTCTCTCTCTCCAGGAGGACATAGTTGTATATGGCTCTGAGAGAAGCAACAGTCTATCTGAAATAACTTGGTTGTATCTTCATTGTCGGTCAGTGTGTGTGTGTGTGTGTGTGTGTGTGTGTGTGTGTGTGTGTGTGTGTGTGTGTGTGTGTGTGTAATGCTGTTTTTGTTTTATAAAATTCTAAGATAATAATAATAATAAAGTCAGAAGTTCATGTCATATATAATCTTACGAAAACAAATTTAGTTTTTCCTTTTCAAAAAAAAAAGTAATAATAAAAATATGAAAAGTATGAAATGAAGATTCGAATTCCGATGAATAATTTTGTCTAGTGAACATGATGAACAATTTTGTCTAGTGAACATGATGAACAATTTTGTCTAGTGAACATGATGAACAATTTTGTCCAGTGAACATGATGAACAATTTTGTCCACTGAACATTATGAACAAATTTGTCCAGCGAACATGATGAACAATTTTGTCTAGTGATCATGATGAACAATTTTGTTCAGAAACGAGGATGAATGATTTTGTCCATAGACGATGAAGAATAATTTTGTCCACAAGGAAATAACACCCTGAAAGCCATAAGATAATTTTTCTACAAAGATGTGAGTACTTCTGTCCGGAAAACATTTTGTCCACAAACACCCAAAACTGTTCTCAACGCCTGACCACTTTTGTCCGACACAATTTTGTCCAGAACGACCATTTAGTAGTGTCCATGAGGTCGCTAGAAGACTTGTTCGACAAAACTGGCATTCCTTTTGACTTGATTGGGTACGTATGGACAAAACTAACATTTCCTTCACATTTTAGGGTATGTATCGGACAAAATTATCTTCTGTGGTCATATCTATGGACACTACAAGAATTATTTTGAAAATTTTCTATAAATTCCTAAATTCTAATTGTCTTTTAAGATTTGTTACTTCAGGTAAATGTGAACGTATATTTTTGTGTGTTTGTGTGAATTTACCTGTATATATGTATGTAATAATAATAATATCAATATAAAAATAGTAACAATAATAATAATAATAATAATAATAATAATAATAATAATAATAATAATAATAACAATAATAATAATAACAACATCAACAACAATAACAATAATGATAATTATTATAATAATAATAATAATAATAATAATAATAATAATAATAATAATAATAATAACAATAATAACACAAATAATAATAATAACGATAAGAACAACAATGATAATAATAATAATAAGAACAATAATAATAATAATAATAATAATAATAATAATAATAATAATAATAATAATAATAATAATAATAATAATAATAATAATAATACGCCCCTGGTCTCCTTGTAAGTGACGGGGATTGCACAGTGGCAAACATGACTCGTCTGTCACTCAAAAAGATCAAGGTTCGATCCCACCATAAAACGTATTGTTGTTTACAAGTGTTCACCATTCATGTCGACATAAACAGGTGTTGCAGTGTTCTCCTAACTCAGTGTTCAGTACAGGGCCATCGAAAGCGAATGGCCAGATTTTAAAGTTATATATTAATTTACCAGATTTTAATATACAATAATTTAAAATCTGAGCATTCAATTTCAATGACCTGTATACACATAATACGTGCACATGTACACATGGATTTCGTACATGAAGAATTATACATGTGCGTCTTCATGTATACATAGATGTTATTTATCACTAGAAAAAACAAACAATGTTTTATTTGTTTATTTGTTTGTTTGTCAAGTTATACCTGGTGTGTACAGGTGTTGTATGTGTGTGTGTTTGTTATCTTACCTGTAATATTAAAAGACTTATATACGACAGATTAATGTGAAGTTTCATTGTTCTCACCTGTAGTCGAATTAATTAATTAGGTAAGTCTTTAATAACTCAATCGTTCTCTATCGTATCTCTCTGTCATCTCAACACTTTAATATCTCTCTTGGTAACTTAATTAATTCTCTCTATTATCTCTCTATCTCACTAGTATTTATCTCTTTTTAATAACTTAATTTGGTTAAGATTTGATAGCGTTTAGTTGGGGGTCAAAGGTTCACTCCCACCCAACTGAAGCAGCATCGACCCCAAGTGAGACACAACAACGGACCAGATGACAGTCAGGGTAAGTCAGTTCGGAGACTCGTTACTCTGACTCACTTTCTCAATTACGTTTTTGGAGGAAATCTATAGCTTTTTTTTTTTTCGTCATTTTCATTATATAGTTATGAAAAATCTTACAACTTGGGTGGGCTTTAAGTTCACTGGTACAATTTTTCGTGGGATTTAATGTTTACTTCACGTGAATTTCATATGATCATGCTTGAACCAATCAGAGGTACTTAAGAGTGTCACGTGATAGTTCTGCGCATGACCAAGTGTTGGTTATGGGAACTTGCTTCAGTCTGTGTTTGTGTCCGGTGAGTGAGAGGTGTTGTGTGTCTGAGTGGAAACCATTTAATGTGTTTTAATGTGTTATTGTGTTATTGATATATTTTAAGGCTCGTGGTGTTTTGTTTACTACCTTAAAGTGGCCAGAGTGTTGTGCAGACTGCCATTGTCGTGAACATAAACACGTTTGGGTTTGATAAAGAAGAAATATCTCCAAGACAAAGGTAAGGCAAAGTTAGGCTAGGTTTGGTTTGGTTAGGTTTGGTTAGGTTTGGTTAGGTTAGGTTTGGTTTGGTTTGGTTTGGTTTGGTTAGGTTAGGTTTGGTTAGGTTTGGTTTGGTTAGGTTTGGTTTGGTTTGGTTTGGTTTGGTTTGGTTTGGTTAGGTTAGGTTAGGTTTGCTCAGTTTATTACGCGTTTCAACCCCACAATTTCCCTCAACTTCAGACTCCTGCCCACATTCTGCAATCAAAATCATAGGTGTCATATTCCTTTAAGTCACCATTAATTACTTAAGAAAAACCTATCGTGTAAGTGATCCTCGTTCATGTACAGTACAGTCGCCCACACAAGTCCTGTCGCCTTTACCCCTGAACCACAAACCCAGAGATTCAGACTCGTGAACCCGAAGCATTTATGAACAGAAAAATGTATCAGTTTTGTAACTAACACTCCTTTGTTAGCCTTGTTTCGAGCATATACGCATTGTTGTCTTGGTTTAAGATTCCTACATATATCTTTCAGACCATGAAAAAGTTCGTTTAGATCTTACTGTAGTTTTGTGGAGTCCTCGTCAGATTTAATTATACGCCTTATTTTAGTGTCATCAGCAAATTTACTTACGTTGCTGTCTACGCCGATATCTATGTCGTTGATGTATATAATAAATAGTTATGGTCCAAGTACTGAGCCTTGGGGAACTCCACTAGTGACGTCCCCCAGTTAGATTGCCTTCCGTTAATACTGACTCGCTGTTTCCTGTCCTGTAACCACGCCCTAATCCAATTTAGAATATCCCCTCCAATTCCAGGACCCTCCACTTTACGTATTAGTCTTTCGTGGGGGACCCTGTCGAGGTAAACCACGTCATATTTGTGGCCCTCGTCCACTGATTCGAAAACAGTTGTAAAGAATGATATGTTTATCAGACATGAACTCCCGCTTGTGAAGCCATGTTGGGAATCATTGATCAATTTGTGCTTCTCCAGGCGATTTCGAATTGAGTTTGTAATTATTACTTCCAGTAATTTGCCTACAATTGTTATTAAACTGATTGGACGGTAGTGAGAGGATAGTGATCTATCTCCCTCTTTGAAAATCGGCATCACATTCGCTATCATCCAGAAATCTAATACGACACCCGTTTTTAATGACATTTTAAACAAATTAGCTAAGGGGATACTTAAGTTCTTCCTTTCATTCAATCTTTAATCTTTATCGTTTTCTTTTGTTATCACTCATTCATTATCTTTCTTCATTTGCCTTAATTCTGTTCTATATTTTCCTGTGTATGTCATTGGCATTTCGTATATTTTTGTCCAATATCTTAGCGCCTTACGTCACCCATTATTTACATATTACGCAACGTTTTCCTGGTAAATATCTTAGGCACGTTTCTCTCGCCATAATGTATTTGTTTATTGCACCACGAAC